CGCGACCGGCTTCGCCCCGTCGCGCGCCGCGAAGGCCCTGCCGACCTTCAGCCGGAACGGTCTGGAGAGGTGGTAGTACAGGATGGGGTCGAAGCAGAGGTTGGACACGGCGAAGAGCAGGGTGCACTCCTTGGCCTTGAAGAGCGTTTGCTTCAGGGAGCAGCTGCCTATGGCGTCGCTCTGGCTCAGCGTGTAGGGGATGCGCACCAGGTGGTAGGGCACGAAGCACAGCAGGTAGCCGGCCGTCACCAGCAGGATGGAGGCCAGCGCCTTCCTCACGCTCGCGTAGCTCTCGCTGTACTTGTTCCGGTAGAGCTGCCGGACAACGAGGAAGTTGGAGACCAGGATCACGGCCGAGAAGTTCAGGAAGATTGCCGTGCAGATGAAGTTAGTGAACACGTGCCAGTCCCGTCCAAATTTCGTTTTGAGGTCGATGCATCCCGCGTTGGAGCTCTCCTCAATGTCTTTGATTGGGATGGCCATGTTGGGCACCGTTATGAGGAGAACCATGGCCCACACGACTGCAGAGAGCATCTTGGCAAAGCCGGGCTCCTGGATGCGGAAGATCTTGTAGCTGTGCTTCAGCTGCAGGCAGCGATCCATGCTCACAAATCCCAAAAATATTATGGATAAGTACATGTTCAGGTAGATGAAGCAGGCTGTGACCTGGCAGTGGAATATCCTCAGCTTCCAGGGTGCCACCCCCAGGTCAACGATGATTTTGACGGGCAGCGCCAACGTCAGCAGGATTTTTTTTTGAGCAGGTAGATGCTCGTGCACTTCTGCTTCTGGCCTTTCTGCGTGAACGCCCACAGCGCAAAGCAGCTGCCAATAAATCCCATCAGGAAAACCAGGTAGTAAAAATAGGTAAAAGGCTCCATTTCTGTGTAGGTGTTGCACTGTGAAACATTGCTTGGCATCATATGTTGCTCGTGCAAGGAAGTTTTCTGCTGGATGTCAAGAACCTAAAAAACAACCACCCCCCGCAAAACAGGAGGACATCAATTTATTTTCTGGAAAACAATAGTTATTCCGTGTGTCTTTTTCTTCATTTAATTTCATGAAAAAATGCAACCACAAAGAAATATATATGTGTGTGTGCGTGTGGGAGTGTGTGTGTATATATATAGACTTAGGTTTTGTTGTTGAAAGGCTATAGATTGCTGAGAAACCCCATCACCAAAGCAGCGTTTCTGTGTGCTTGGCCTTTAAAGAAGAGGTTTGGTAGCTGTTTGGGATAAGGTGTTATTGAGTAATTAATGATGGTCATAATGAAACTTTAACCCAAACAGTTAAAACTAAATGTAATAATACAGCATAATGTTTAGAGCAGTCTCAGATTATAAAAATATCTAAGGAGCTGCCACCAACGAGGCAGACGGGTCGGGTCAACAGTCCTGAGCTGTGACAAACTGCCGCCCCTTTCATGCTGGACAGAGGAGGAATCTGCTGTGTGTATTTACGAAGCCTTTAGAAGAAATGCATTTTGAAACAAAACTGCCATTTGCTCTTTTTGTTCACCTCCTTCTGTAAGATTTAGTGAAGAAGGAAAGTGTCTTTTGTTTGCTTTAATTTAGTCCTAACGAGGTAAATCTGCCCCCCAACCTCCGAGGTTTGTGTGCTGCCCGGCAGGCTGTTGCAGGGACACGCGCTGGGATTCCTTGGAATAAGGAGCAGCAGGCGCGTGGCTGGACAGCCTCACCCCGCAGCGGCGTGGGGGGCCCTGCGCCCCGCAGCAGAGTAGGGCTCTGCGCCCCGCAACGGCACCGCGGCGGTTCTGGCGCAGCCGGGCGTGCGGCGCGGGGCCCTCCGTGCCAGCCCCCTGGTTCCCCGCAGCCGCCCCGCGCGCTGCTGCCTCGAGCTGCGGCTCCCGCCCCTTCCTCCCTGC